CATATTTATTTATATCGTTTATGTTTAGTAACTGAAAATAATATGGACAATTTAGGAGGGAAGTATTTTTAGTGCACAACTTTATGAAACACAATTATTGTAAACAATTGCATAAGTCTGACAACATGAATTTTAAACTAATTGATATATTTTTTTATATTTAATTTAGTTTATTATATTTATGTAAGATTTATTTAAATTATTATATTTAACTATATGTCGATGATTCTTACTTTACTGACCTTTTAATTAATCTGTTTAATCTTAAAAATTGCCATAAGTAATAAATAATAAAAGTAACATCCGTAAACAAGTTTAAAACTTGTAATTTATATGTACTCCAAACTTTGCAAATGAGATTAATCCAAATTAAGGGCATCCTTGATTGGTCACTTATTTCCCTTAATTGGTCCACCATAACAATTTGACTAGTTGAATTTAATATTTTCCTCAGTTCTGATTGGCGTAATTGGATGCCATACTAAAAATGTTTTTTCACATTCATTAAATTTAGCAAATTATAAAGCATATATTTTATAGCATTTCATTGCAAAACATATATTTTACATGCGCTTACATTTGGAAAGTAAGAGGGTGAACACAACAGTAATATTTAACGTAGAACGAAGGTCATAACGGCACAGGTAATATTGTCAAACGGTATCTGGTATTTTATTGGGTCTGCACTGCCATGTAAAATTACACTCCAACCTAAGCATTAGGTTCCAATGGCCATTGGGCACATTTTAAAATTACAATGCAATACAACATGATTTCTAAGCTAAAACAGCTAAAATATTATTTTTTAACATATTTATTTGGAATGTTGATCAAATCAATGACACCTAATTTCGGGTACTGTAATAATATTTCATTTCAAATTCAAAACAAGAATGAGAAAATATAATGTCAAAAATTTATAAAAAAGTTATGAATATGCAAGTATACTTCAATACATTGGTTTTTGCTACGGCAATATTCACGATGAATTCAATTTAGTGAGTCTGAAAATTTTAATCGACCACTTAGTTTTTGCGTTGTAAAAATCTCTTCACATATGTATTAGAATATAATAATAACTATAACTGGCAAACAATACGAATAACTATAACTTTAAAACTAATGCCACTTTATGTACTATTTAATGGCAATAAGACTAGCTGTCACAGGAGAAAGTTTTCTAAACATTTACCACTAAAGTGTATTGTGGGATAGGCGTGAGCGAAACATCATGACCAATCAATGTGTTTCCCTTTTGGGGATCTGTTTCTCGTTTGTAAAAATAAACTCTTTTCAGCGTATGAGGAAATCATCGTTGAAAACCGAGCGGGGATCGAAAAGCCACTTTGAGCTTGTGTTATGAATTTTTTGCAATTCAGCACACATTTTTCAGATTACTACCTAAAATAGATAAAATGTACTTTCTTCACTTTTACTTAAAAGATGGCTCCAGATATTTGTGAATGATTTATTTTCAAGATTAAAATACCCCTGTCATAGAAATACATTAACATTGTTATCTTCTATGAAATGAAATTCAAACTGTGAAATACAGCTCTTGAATTTATGTGATATGTCTTAAAAAATTATGTTATAATTTTAATTAAGGACGATTTTCAATACTCAGATACCTATTACTTATAATTTATACCTAATGCGTACATCTCCTACATTTTACTAAAGTGTAAAAAATAAAAATGTCCTACTACCAAATTACTACACCTAATATACTATTATGTTTTATTACCAGGAATATGTTTCATTAAACCTTTGTTAATAATTTTTTATTTACTATAGGAGTTCCAAAGACGCAGCGTTTCTTAAAACCTTGCAAGGAATTTCCTCATATTTTGGTTTATAAAGGAGAAATCAAAAGCTGAAAGGGGTTGGCTTAAGTTAAAATCGTTCAATCAATTAAGGCCGTTGAACATTACCAGGAAACCACATTTAAATGGAGATTTTATTAAGTAGAAGCGAGGAATATCAGTATTTAAATTTCGTATCGTATTAGTATTGATTACGAATTAATACACAGTAGGACCACTTGTTTTGAGTTCTACAACAGTGAACAGATCTCATCTTATAAATATTTGTCCAGCCGTATCATAGATCATAGAAGCCCAAGTTTATTTTTATTATTATAAAGATATACTATATTCATCGTCAGATTATTTTAAATTAGGTTTGATTTTTTGATTGTAAATTGGACCAATTTTAGCCTTTACGTGCTAAGCAATGTCCATTTCGTTTAAGTTCAGCTATTTCAAGACACACGCTCTTGTTCCGAGCATGTTCTCTTGTAAATTACCTGAATGTCGTATGATAAAACCGTTATAGTTTATGGTTTGTGATCACGACGCCGAGATTAAGAGTTATAATTGAATTCAACGCCCTCTACACATGCGAGATGCTTATATCGAGCTGATGCTCAGGATTATAGAAGTTGCATGATGAAGTGTTTGCTGAACCTGCTTTTACGGCGTAGCTCCACATTAACTAAAAAAAGTATTGCTGGCTTCTAGTACAAGTGAAAGCGTAGCTGAGGGCTATGTTTACATTGGTGTTTACTAATAAAGGGTAGGCCAAAAAACCCTGACGGTTTCTGTTTTGTAATTAGTCAGCTGATATACTAGGTAAATACATCATTGTTGTATTAAATGATTGCTTATATTATGCCATTTTTAGGTTATATTTGGTGAAAAATCCCTTCGTCGAAAGAAATATATTATCTAGAGTGGTTTGGCACGGTTTAGAGTCATCGGACTGTACGGTTTTGAGGACGAAAGTGGGAACACCCCCTGTCACTGTAAACTCGGAACGTTATGTGGAAATACTAAAGGGAATTTTTGGTTCCACAACTGCGAATGCTAGGAGGGATAGACACGACCAACATGGTTTCAACAGGACGGCGCAACTTGTCATACAGCCAATTATTCAATGACATTTTACATAAACTCTTTTCTGGCTAAGTGATCTCTTGGTTTGTGATGTGTTACGGTCAGCTCGATCCCTAGACTTGATTTCGTGTGACTGTTGGCAATGGGGATATGTAAAAAGGAAAGTCTTTGTTTTGAAATTTCGAACAATCCCTGAACTGAAGCAGTGTATCCGGGAAGAGATTGCTTCTATTCATCAGACGAAGGTTACTGCAAAAATAAAAAATAAATGGGAAGCCTGCGTTTGTGAGAAGGTCATTACCTAAATGATATAATTTTGCATAAATGTAAATGGTATAGTATTGTATACAATATAACATTATTTAATCTATACAATTATATTTTGTTCTTGAGTTACCTAGTAATAAAACCGTCAGGTTGTTTTGACTCACCCTGTACATCGCCTACCGTACTGCAATAAACATTCCATAGGGAAAACCTACGAAATCTGTCTTTACCTGTTTATCTTTTTATTCGAATACTATGGTTGGCTTTAGATACTTTTCTACTTAGTTCCTAGGTTAAATAAAAAGGGATCTTGACTATTTTTAACATTTATCCCTTTTGTATCATCTACGTATTACACTATTTTATTATGTGAACATAAAGTTTCTTCTCCTAGATGTTATAGCATTCAATAACTTTCTTAGTATTATAAAGAATACTATAAACTATAACTAAATAAAAATTAGGTTAAACAAGAACAAACAAGTATCATTAGTATTTTCTGAAGATGCTAAAGAAGTATCAATAACCAATTAAATTAATTTATTGCAGAAGAGGAATCCTACAAATTAAAAACCTTTTGCTCCTCGGTATTGGAATGTAGTGAGAAATAAGTCTTTGAAAGACGGTAAGCTTCTTATATACCTCGCTAAGATATTATACGTCATTTAGTTCTGAAAAGCTTCTAAAAGAACTCTGCTGCTTTAAAGGATCCGTTCAAATAAAAATGTCTAAAGTAATTAAACACCACTGGGATATTTTAAGTCGTACAGTTGAACTTGTGATGTTCACGAGCAAATTTGTATGGCTAAGTAAGGTTAAACGATTAGTTATTAGCTTCATATTAACATTTTTAATCCACGAAATGGTCCTGTGTGGCAAAGGAGTTTTTGAAAAATCCATTTTAAGATGAGTATCTATTAAGTTTATGGTGAAAAATAGAAAAAGGAAGGACGTTTTTGCTGTGAATGGGGACTCAATGAGTATGTAGGCTGCGCATTTTTAGCAAAAAAATAGTGTCCTTTGTTTTTTCTCGTTTAAATCATCAAAAATACATAGAGAATAGCAAAATTGTGTTTTTGTGAATAAAAACAAAAATCAGACTTCATGCTTATACAAGGATGATCAAAAAGTATTCAACGCAAGTAATTATCATACACTAGTTGATAAAAATTATAATTAGTGATAAAAATATAGGGGCATCTGTTTTAAAGACTTGACTAAACCACCAACTGAAGAAATAGCTGTGAATACCAATATACACGGTAAAAACTTACACAGTAACATATACTCAATTATTTCGTATAATCAGACTATAGTGTATTTATAAAACGTCTTTAGAAACATATAAACCATACATTACTTTTTGAACATTTTAGTCTGGGGAAAATATACTTGGTGTTTTTTTGTCATGTAGCTTGGAGTCAGAAAATTATTTTCGTGAATAGTATATATTGTTTTATATTGAGAGAAAATAAAGGATATGTATGCCCAACTTGCTTCATAGAGGAACATAGGGTTCAAACATTTATTAGGCTTTTTGGGGTATGAGTAACCACAATTGAACGTTTACTTTTAAAATAATCATAACACATAACCAAATACATTTAAAAATGTAAATGATACATCAATTCAGTTTTCATTTCTCACTACTCGTAATCGCATTTATAAGTCTGTGCGAATTCACACCATGCGTTTGGATTAAAGTTTGTGCAAATGTGCCAGTTTGATGCTAGTTTAAATTCTTATCACTTCTGATGGTAATTATAATATTGATTGTTAAAGCGCAGGCGCATGTATGGTCGGTCTGCGCGCCTAGTCAGTTCAGTAGTGGTTGTTGGACGTGCAGCATCGCTTAGGGTGTGCTCGGCTACATAGCAACATACGACGTCACTGTGCGCGTTGTAGGCTTCATAGCATACGGTGGATACAGAGGATATAATAATTTGAGGTAAAAAAACAAGTAGTTCATGTCACACACCCTGGTAAAATATTCAAACAATTTTCGGTAATCGTTGAGGAAATTTAGTTGGTTGAAGTTTCATTAGAAGTATGGTGTTGTAAAAAAATCATGTAATTGATTGTCTTTAAGGTGATAACAATTGAAATTTTATAGTTGCTTGTATTCTGTGTTGTTTTAAACAGTGCAAGTGTTTCCTGTAAATTAGTGTAGATATTTCGATAAATTTAGAGCCTCATAGCAGAGTATTAAATGCCATCTCACTCACTCCTCTTTGCCAAGTAAAATGTTTGGTACTCTAACAAAATTATTTCTACAACAAACTATTTGTTTTATTGATTAGTCATAATCGAATCTTATTATTTTAAATTTATAGTTTACTTTAGAATATAAACCACAGCTGGGATTCTTTTATTTAAAACAATAAAAATAACCTCTTTGTATTAGGTATTTTTTCGAACTTACATAGCTTCGGATTATTTAAGCTTAAACATTAAATGCAACTTATTAACAAAATCTGTAGAGTGTTGATAATAAATCATTGTCCATACTTCATTTAAATCTATCAATATTATATATCTTGAAAAGCTTTGTCGTCCAAATCGGTCAATGTACGAATCAAACATACATTCGTTGTTGTCCTTATAATGAGATGTTCATTAAAGCTTATTATGACATGTAAAATGAATTAACACTAATATACCTGTTATTTGAGACAAAAACTGTAAGTAAATTCGTATTACCATAACTTTTATGTAAAACAAATACCGAGTATACTATGTATTCGTTTCTTGAGGAATACGCTATCGATTTTTGGACAAAATACCTACATAATACAAGTTCAATTTTCATACAGTTACATGGAAAAACAAAGCTTTAGCGTTGCAAGACTGAGTAAAAGAGGGAAAAGGATGGTCAGAAACATTTAATTTACATTCGCAGTCATAAAGTTACATCGACTTGTCAAAAGTTGGTTCGTTCCTCTTTGTACCTGAAAGCCTTTGAGGCATCATTATTTGCAGTTGAAACATTCTGAGCTCTGATCTTTACCTGTGTAGTCTGTAATAAATAACAATTTGTTCGTTTATGATTTCCCAGTTTTTTTCCTTAGTACCAAGTTATTTATTTATTTTTATAAAATAGTAGTAATTGTTTGTGTATTCAACCTTTTAATGAATCATAGGTTTTGGTACCTAAAGTATTACATTGCATAACGACAATAATTGCATTTAATTGATTCTGGTAAACTTGATAATTATTGTTAACTATTCGAGTATAAAATTACGAATATTACTAAACCTATTTTCTATTTGTAGTTTAGATGTCATTAGCCAATTCTGACCACTTTAACCATTAAAAAGCGTCTACTGACAAAGACATTTGGGAAACAACTTAAAAATTGATGTTAGGAGTAAACAATATCAAACCACAATATACAAAAATAATGTCAGAGGATAAAATAATCGTGTTGGTCTCATTTCAAAGAGATGTGTTTTGCCTACATAGCCAAAATCCTTTTAAACCATAAAATCGTGTCATTTATTTATCTTGTAATCAGTTAATTAGTCATAAGACTTCAAATAAAAAAATATAAAAAAATCCTGCCGTGTCTAACTAAATTCAATTTGAATCTAATTTTTTATTTTATAAACGTTATATATAAATATAAGTTACTAGGTACTATATAAGTAATGTACATTGAAAAATCCTTTTTACATTATCCATCTGTATAACTAACAAGTATGTACGTAACGATAAGATTGGTCCCCAATATCTTATAAGAATTTTGTAAAAATAACATTTTAACACCAAGCTGCACAAAGGCTTCATTGGAAAAAGTTGTGTACGATAAAATAAGGAAAATTAATTAATTGTTTTAATTGAGTAAATATTTATTATTGAGAATAATGCTACTAGTTATATAAACGATAAACACAAATTGTGTTAATTGAAGTAAGCTGACCTTTTTCATAATATTTTCCACTTATTATCTACAATGCATACACCTGTAGAACTCAAATAATTATTTTATTAAAATTCAAAGTAACAGAATAGATGGTACTGTTGGTTGGGACTTTGATTTTCATGGTGGCAGTTCGTTTTTGGTCAATAAGGACTATTAACTGTGGTCAATAGGATTGTATCACAATTACATTATTGGAATGAGATAAACGATTTCCAATTAATCCCATTAGTTCAAGGATATTATATTAATTCACTTTCTTTTGGTAAACAAGATGCATGTTTGTCTGCTAGCATTACCTTTAGATAATGCGAAGTTTGTGAGAAAGATTCTTTTTAAATGCCATTAGTATATTTGCAGTGTTTAGCTTGTTTACCATCAAAATCAAGTAAAATTCATAAACGAGTCAAAACGTTTAAGGGGGAAATACAAAATCTTAACCCTAATGACTTTGTATATACAGTATTATGTTTTTATATATCATGTAAGGTTTTAATGAGACCTATCACATCCAAGGGTATAATTAAGTTCAATCACATGTAAAGAACAGGATGTAAATAATTTTATTTTCATCCAAAGTCAGACCTTAGAATATTTTAACTGTACCAAACAAGTTTTTACAAGATTTCACATCAAAAATTAATTACATTACTTCGTTACAATTCCTAACATTCTAAATCAACTTGTTAAAAACATGTTATCAATTAACTTTCCGATCGGATATAATCCGTTTTAATATCACTATCGTTTTAAATTTCAATTGGCCAGGTAATTTCATATTAAAGGGTAACTGAAAACACAAGACGTTTTCAAAAAACATTACTTTATTGGTTTTTTGCCAATTATAACTTTTTTACATTAAAATGTTTGTAAACTTTTAATATTTATAAATATACTTTTTAACAAACATAGTTGGCCTTGGTTTATCAGATACCCTTTACTTGTAGAAAAAAATATCAGTTAGGAAGAGTCCACTTTTATTCATACACGTTTCAATGATTCACTTAAATTCTCCCTTTACACGTCCCATCTTTTCACGCCGCTATTAATTGTCACCAATTCCTGGAGTAAACTTCACTTGTGATTTAATATATATATATATTGGTTTCTAACGGTCTAGAGTTTCTGACACAAAAATATCTTGTCTTTAAATTACTGTTATTTTGTTATTATTTGCTTTTAACGTGTTACATGATTTATATTGCTAAAATAGCGTTCACTGTTGTTATAATTGGAACATAATTTATTCTTCCTTTAAAATTAAAAGCACGAGTGTGTTATATATAAATGGTATTTAGTTACAAGATATTTCCGTCTTATTCATGTAAATGTAGTATATTTATTTGTCTTAAATTAAACCCAGATACAATTGGTTTGTAACATCCACACAGAATATTGGGTAAACATATAATGTTGTCAACAAAGTATTAGTACAGACACTGCAACAACATGATCTAAGCTCTAAAAACCTTGACATCCTAAGGAAGTATATAGTCAATTAATTGCTCTTATGTGATTATTTTATTAATTGTGTATTTTTATATTCAGGAAACTCCATTTTAAGGTAGCTATAACACTATTAATGAGAATAAATTATTTATACCTGAGATACAGCTTGTATGTATAACACACAGTTTACAAAACTAAAACTCATATTAGGCTACATTTTTTACCTTGTGTAGCTATTGCTACTTAAACGTGGTACTACTTTGTTTTTAAAAGCTGGAAGAACACGGAAGTTTTTCCCGATTATACCTGCGAGTATTCTGGGTAAAAGCTGGGGAACTTTTTATTTTGTATATGAATATTACGGTAAAATATATTAGTTTTTCTTATAAGAATTACGAATATATTTTACCGTAATATTCAGCTTATATTTTTATAGATAACTATTTTATTTTTTAGTCAGTTGTTTACAGTGCAATTTTTTAAGTGTACTCATAACTGACTTAATCAATTATTATTAAATTATTCCTACGTGAATTAATAATTATAAATGAGCTAATCGGCTTTAAATAATATTTAATTGAAAGCTATATATGGGGAAAGCTTTATTAGATGAATATCTGATAAGAAATCTATCGTAAGCAAATGTAAAACTTTGCGTCTAATATGTTATCAATATTAAAATGTGATTTTTAAAACTATAATAAAAAAGCGACTATTTTAGGTTTTGCTCAAATATTTCCGATGGACGAATACCATCTAAACTATGGCGAAAACTACTTGTCAAAGTTTCAAATGAGGACTAAGACCAAAAGTATAAGTTACATTGATATTGGTCAACAGACAAGTCTAAGTCTGAAGTCGAGTTCCAACTCAAACTTTAGTGAGCAAAGTTTTCTTCTTTGAAGTAGTTTTAACCAGAAACTGAAAAGTCACGTAGAACACAAAGTTCCCCAGTTTTACTCAGAATACTCGCCGTATAATAAGGAAAAACTTCCGTATTCTTCCAGCTTTTTAAAACAAGGACGTAGTCCCAAGTTTAAATAGCAATCGCTACCTACACAAGGTAAAGAATTATAATATGCATTTTATTTTTGTAAGCTGTATCACAAATATAAATAATTTATTCTCATTACTAGTGTTTTTGCAACCCTAAATGCAGTTTGCTAGATATCAAAACACACAATTTATAAAATAATCACATAAGAGCAATTGGCAATTTTTCTTAGGTGGGCCACGGTGTTGGAGTGTCTGTACTAATACTTTGCTGACAACATTATATTTTTACCCAATAACTGTATCGATGTTACAAATCAATTTTATCTGGGTTTAATTAAAGACAAATACATATGCTACCTTTACATTAATATGACAGAAATATTATATAACTAAGTACTTTTAATTTTGAAGGGAGAAAAATTACGTTCCAATTATAACAACATTCAACGCTATTTTAGCAACATAAATCATGTGCCATGTAGGCTAACACATTAAAATCAAATAACAAAATAAGAGTAATATAAACACAAGATATTTTGTGTTAAAAACTCTAGACCGTAAGAAACCAATAAATATATTAAATCACGAGTGAAGTTTACTTTTTTAAAACAAACTAATTGTTATTAAGTATACATAAAGTTGTTCAAAACATGTAGTTTTAGGTGTTGTGAAATTGAAAAGTTGTAATAAACTCATTTAAAGCCTTAACTATAACAATTGGTCATGTTAAACAATTAATAACAAACAAATTAACAAACACAATTAATAAACAAACAAAACAATAATAAATTAAACAATTTATTAAAATAACTAAACAATTAATTGGAGTGGTAGTTAAATCGCTCCTAAAGAAAATTAATTAGTAAAGTTGTTTAAGTGTTGTTGATTTCATGTTTGTTTACTTCGATTACAAATTAAATTGTCCGAAAGCACAAAGAATACACTTGTACTGTGTTGTTTGACGTATTACATGTGCTTTCATGTAATTTAATAACACGTACGATGCTGATAAAAAAGTTATTTAAATTCAATGGTAAATCTTCTTATGTTACTACATTTTAATGATCAGTATAAGTTAAACTAAACTAGGATTAGTGGAATAAACGAAACATCTGACTAAAACTTAAAATTTACTATGAGATAATCGTGACCATTGTAAGATCCTTTATGTGTTAAATAATAAACAATATATGTATTTTTATGCTTCATTAGTAATATTTTATTTTTCTGAAATGTATTTAACTGTTATGTGTTTTTACTAAACAAAAAGTGTAATAAATAGCAACAAAAAAAGTAAAAAAATACTAAAAGCCTATTCAACAAACTTTGATTCTATTTCCCAACCAAAATCCATCCAAGACCAAATGAAATACTGTTTTAACGATAAAAATGATCCATTTGAGGGTATCAAGTAGCTTGCACTAATCATCAGTTCTTATTCAACCATAGATAAACGGAGTATAGACATTCAACCACAAATCCAAACAAGCAGCACTAAAACAGACGATGATTGTGCACTTTCCTGTACGACAAAAGGCAAAAGTGTTACAGTAAATACTAGTAACAGAGCACAAATAGTGCATTTAATTGATTTGTAACTTTTTTTAAGTAAATGTTACATTGAAAATAAGCGTTTATTATTTGAATTTCAAATCCATAAATTACTTAAGCAAATGCAAATACTTGGTGATGCAGAAAATGCAAAGCCGATTAACAAGATATTCATTCGATGTTTTTGAGGTAATCAGCGGTAAACGAAAGAGGATTTTCTCTCACGTGATATAAACAAATATATATTATTATTGTTAGTCAATGTACCACTCGTACATAGGTGTGTACACTTGAGATAGGTTTATAGATATCCATTTGGATGAACAGGTAATATTAGCTAACAATTGAATTATAAGTTAGTTTTTAATGTATGAGGAAAACCCCGGAGCAATTACTTAGAAACATCCCAACATAGCGTGCTGACAACTTAAACACAATTAGACTCGTTGATGTGTACAAAGACACTGTGTCGTTGACTCGTCTTGGTGAAGGTTAATGTCTGTTACTGTATATTAGCTTTGATTACATCACCAATCAAAGTTTAAAGTAATTTTCCTCCCATCTAAAGATTTCAATTACTAAGGATGTAAAAAAGGCCTCAGTAAACACTATGGAAAGGAGATTGAACACGAAAATGTGAAACTGGGTGCTCAGGATAACATACCAGACTTCTAGGATTCAACTGTTCAGAAAAGGTAAGGTTTTTGTCCTAGGACGCTAGGCACGAGTCCAGGATTGTTTTTTACATTACTTCAGGCTAAACCTAGGGGTTGCGGCATTATCACTTAGATAAAATCCATTGGTGATTTGGCGGGATTTGAACCCGGGACCTTAGGCACCGAAGTCCCGCGCTCTAACCGCTAGACCAGCTCGCCCCCCCAAAAAAGGTAGGGTAGAGACACAAGGAAACTGGCCATTGTGTGAGTTAATGACTAATATATTGACTCAGATATAACAATATCACACAGTATCTCAAATAAATGATTCATAAGCTCAATATTGGACAGATAATAATGCAAATACTGTACAGAGAACATGAAACTTTGCGGACCCAGAGACACTGAAACTCACCCTGGTTCAGTCAACGTCTGTTAGTTTGAACCATTAGTGACGTCACAATTCCCACATGACGTAGACACATGACAAAGTCTGACGTGTGGTAATACGTTATATCTAACGTTGTAATAATCCCCCGTGCAATATACGATATTGAGATCTTTATGTGGAGTGCATAAGGTATATTGGTTAAATACTAACAATTGAAATACTACTTAAAAAAATCATTTTTTGTAGATACTGATTCCTGCTAAAAAATTTAAATTTTCCACGTAAATGAAAGTTAAATATACTGTTTCTTAATGAGTGCGTTTAAATAAATATTTACTTTATAATAATTACTTATCATTGACTGCACAGTACTAATAAACTTTTAATATTAAATATAACTACTTCTAACTATGAATTAAAATATTATCCATGTGTATAGTTGACTTTTTTGTCAGTATTGTTGATTAGTAAACATTTAATTACTATAGTCCTGTATGTAAATATTATTTGAGAGTTAAAATAGTTGTGGTATGGAAATAAAATGCGAATATATTCTTACATAAATAATGTCTGTGTATGTTTTATAGTAAAAGATCATATTAATATTGAGTATACAATTATCCGTCAATAAGATAACATAATTTTTGTAAGAATATATTCACAGTAAATGGTTATGATGACCTCAACTACATTAAATATTACTTTCAAAATTATTTATTTCTTCTTAACCACTGAAACATTACTGTGTAAAAGAGGGGGTTTTAATAGGATTTTAGAGAAGTTCTAGTTAGTAGCGTAGGGACGTAGAGTGGTAAAACTTATCTTTTTGAAAGGACACTGTACTTTTTTATTTGAAAATGAGAACCCTTATCAGACTGCTACCCATCCAATTACAGCCCAAATGATCAATGACTTCTGGATCCAACCTGAATAGTGCTTTCGATTTTCACGTTGAAAATTCTACTTCACAACTCAACTGTAGAACCTATAACATTCCTTCAGTATTATTGAAGTTCTAATGATCTATTAGAACACAAATGACCAATCAGGATGCATGAAAAAAGTAATTTTTGTTTTAAATACGTTTATTCGGTAAACACTTTATAGGGCTTAGTTTGTATCAGTTTAGTTTGAAATCAAGTTGTGGATGGAGGTTGAATACTGAACCAAATCCTTATGCACGCTTTGTTTACAAATGTTCTTACTGTATAGACTTAATGTACATAGACTGATAGAAACTGGATTTCATGGTTGATGGTAAAATATAACACTTCTAGAAAGGTCGTAATAACCGAACTCCTAATCCTATTAGTGGGCAATGAAATCATGATATCGAAATTGTCCTTAGTTTTACATACGTATATAAAACTGATAATCAGTTTAATAAAACTACAAAACAAAAACTGTACAAATAGGCTAATTTTTTTGATTTACTTAAAACGAATCAATATGAAACTATTTTAACCGCACTTAAAAAGCGCATTTTATTTCTATACTGTGTTCTTGTAAACATTTGCACCTTGCAAATATTGATATTCATACCCCTACCTATGAAGTGGCAATCATTAAAAAAAGTAGTAACCAATGAACATATTTTATTTTAACAAATAAATTTTATAATAACTGCATTTGGATTTGAATATCTAAACTTTTCTGTAGTTAAAGGTGTTATTTTTTTATTTTAAAGTACTCTCAAACTAATGTGGATTAGTTCAATCAAACGATCATATTTACACATTTGAATCACCCACAAAAACGTTATTCAATAATGTCATGGAAATGGAATCATAAAAAATGTCACTACAATATATTTTGTCAAAGACTAAGCTCCGCAATAACCTGGAAAATTTAATGGATTCATTCCATGGCAGAGACGTTTGATCTTATTTTATTGGCGTGATAATGAAACTTTAATAGCAACAAAATTGCGTTTTCTTTAAAAGAACACTTCAAAAAAATATTACATGTACAAGCTGGAAGAAATATATTTTTGAGTCTGTTCAAATAGTGTGTTTTAGTGTTAATAAAATTAGTCACATAAATAACCATTTCACAAGTATATTTATTTTGGTATGTAGTCGTAAATGGGAGCATTTTATAAATCCTTGAAGATTTAAACATGTTTATTGTAATCCATTAGTCCTAAATTATGACAACCATGTAAAAAAAAATTAATTGATTGATTTTCTCTCAAATTTTCCGTATTCAGACGTCACATATTATAGACGAATAAGGATAATCAAGTGACCAGAGTTTTGTATAAAAAAATCATAAATTTATAGACAATATTGTGTGAATGTAGTTATACTCTACTACTATAGTGTAAATGAGGTACATAAGTTAAGCTGTGTTGTAGTGTTCAGATCACCACTATGGGTGTCAAGCGTGAGCTACAGTCCTAGACACAAGTATACTGACGATGTCCAATGAGGTACATCCGTTAAGCTGTGCTGTAATTTCCAGATCACTTCTATGAGTGTCCAGCGTGAGGTACAGTGCTAGACACCAGTATAGTGACGATGTGAAAGGAGGTGATGATGGGTGAGTGAAGGGATGCATTGCTTGCCCGCGGGGCGCTATGGCTCGGCCTGCTGAGGATGTGGCGATGTTTGCTGGGGGTGCTCCTCTTCATCCCTGGCGTCTATCCTGGCCCCCGGTACAGCTCCAGGATTGTCGAGACGGAGAGCGGTCAGATAAGAGGGGTGGGTTGACCTCATTCATTCGTCTTGCGATTTATAAATTTTTTTGAGTAATGTAGCCTACCATATACTGAATTCTTTTATAAAAAAAAAAAAAACAATTTCCTCCTCTATTTTAATCACAATTTGGTTCGTGACTAGTTTATTCGTGGTAATTTAAGTATTAATCTAAATCATTGGATTGAATACTCATAAAAATTATCTAAGTAAATATTTGTTTTAGTAGGGCATGTAAAAAAAATAATGACAATATGTTTTATAGTGTCTCTTTTAGCAAACCTTTTTAAATACATTTAGTGAAGACAATATTCAAAAGCACTCCTTTTTTATTTTAACAATTTGAATGTAATATTTTCAAAAATATATCTTCTACTGCCAACATTTTGTTTAGATCATCCGCGAACTACCCGTGGAGCCAGTGGAGTACTTCCTGGGAGTTCCGTACGCCGCGCCACCTGTAGGGGAGCGTCGTCTGAGGCCACCACGTCCACCACTGGCCTGGAGCGGCACTCGGCTAGCGGACACCCCTGCTCCCTTCTGTCCACAACCCCCGCCACTGCGCGGCCTCAACGCCACGGCAGCGCTGCAGCTCATGCCCAAGGACCGCTTTCTGCTGCTGAGCAGACTACAGGAGACCCTGGCAGACCAGAGCGAGGACTGTCTTACTCTCAATATCTACGTCCCAGCCAGCGGTAAATAAACTGACCATAAAAGTGTATTCAAATTGAAACAAATTTTGTAGGACTGGCTGTAATTATTCTAGCATATTGCTATGTCTTTGAACTGTGTTGAGGTCGTCTTTGAATTAAGTGTTGTATAAATAATAGACTGCTTTAACTGCTCCATTTGTATGTGATAAGGTCGGTTCTAATTTAATCAGAACAATTAAAGCTAAGATAAAAAATAGAATACGGTCTTCAACTTAATTTTTTTTATTGTTTATAATGCTAAAAATGAAAGTGGCTTTGTTTAACACTCCATTTAGTGAGTAGGTGGCTCAGTCGGTAGTGTCAGGGACTTGGGCTCAAGGCATCGGTGTTCAAGGCATAGATATAGTGGGTTCATGGTCACTGCCCTACTTTTTATCAATACAGTTCACCCTTTTACTGCACCGGCTCACCCCTTGCTTTGGATAAGTTCCACGCACAGGTCCTATAGCCTATTTGGACTGGAAAATGCAAGGTTAAAAGAGGTCGGCAACTTGTTAAAAAAGGAAAAAAGTAAGTTAAACTTGTAGAAGTTAATAAAAAACACACCTTAAATAACTACATATTGGATGTTTTATTAACTTTGGTTTGAGCACACTTGACTTAAACCATTAACTATTGGATCGTTAGTCTACAAGTTAACAAGTATATAAGTTGTTATACGTCTAGATAAATTGTTTTGGGATGGAGACTTCTTTAAACCTTCCATTCGTATGTTAGTTGTGTTCCAATTTTCATCACAAATTATATCATGAATAGATTTTGAAACAGTGGAATTGAATGATAATTAGATTTATATTAGTATGCAACGCACATAGCCAAGTGAATACACACGTGACATATGGTAATGAATATTAAACCAGGTTACATATTCAACCAGGCTTTGCGATTGTTTGTAAGTAACTATTACAAAATTAATATTGTTTATCGTTAACTAGAAAATGTATTGTCAAAGTCTTATCGAAACTAATATAAGATATTTTTATTATTTTGACACCTATTAATTTGCGAGAAACATTTATAGCTCTAGAAACAGTGAAACTAGACTGTCGGCCTTAGTCACTAATAAGACTACAAGATCGTGCCACTCATCCTACACTCGTCCCCATTAATTCTTGGCCTAAAATACCTACTTTCATATGGTCGCTATTTCATTATAAAGTATTAAGTATCAACGTATATAACCAAACAATATCACAAAAAAACAAGGAATAATTATATTCCCGCATTACTTTATTGTATGCTAGGAGTGTATAATAATCATATAGCTCAGTAAACACAAATACCGTTTCTTCTGGACGTAAGTATTGAACTTAAGAACATCAAATACATTGCCTCGTATAGTAAAATAACCCCATGTGGTTTGCAGTCTTAACATATCAAAATTCCAACATAAACTACTTTTATGTACAATGACTTTAAGGATCACTATTTAGTCACTTGTTACTTAAATACGGCATCAGGCCATGCTTCTTAAAACGTAGTAAAACTTTAATTCAATATTTGCTCTGACTTTTCAGGACATGTCAAACAATAGGAGTGAAACTGTGTAGTCCTACCTTTTCTAGGAAAGATTAAAATATTTGTATTTAAAGCACAAAGAGTAAAATCTAGGTCATCCTGAATAATTTAATAATTTATTTACGTGCTTAAGCTTCCAGAACTGTTAATCAAATATTTAACCATGATAATGAATTTTATTTCATCCAAAGTCTTTATGCCACAAACCAAAGTTTTTTGAGAGAATATAATTCCATCATCATGTCTTGTTACCAAACTACAATGAATGGTATCTAGGCGTCAGTGAGTTTAAAGGGGTCACTAGTGCCAATTCCAAATTTCCAAAATTTTTAAAATGTATCATTTTGTGGTATATAATTATTTAATTTCTTGCTCAATGGACTAAGAAGTTTGAGTCCTCTAACATGCAGAATTGAATGTGGTACGCTTTTGGCTCAACTATTCACAAGCATGTTACTAAGTTGTGACTATAAAGCGATTCTGTTGAAATGCTATGATTTCTACTTTATCATATCAACTCATTACATATGCCTCACCTAAGTAATGTATTAAACTTTTTCAAATTTAAATAAAACACAACCTTATACGTTAGGTTGAAGGTAATATCATTAGTGATTGTAACCTAATATACGGCTTTCCAACAATAAGTGTCAACGAATCATCTTAGCCTTCTGATTCCAGGCAGCCGTGGCGAAGACGCCCCTTACGCCATCATGGTGTACATACATGGAGAGAGCTACGAGTGGGGAGGCGGCCATGTTTATGACGTCAGTGTGTGGTCCAGCTTGGGTCACGTGATCGCTGTAACGGTCAACTACAGACTCGGGCTGCTCGGTTGGTAAATATGTGTGTGGAAATACAGGGTGGGGCAGGGAAATATCCCTACTTTTAAGATGGCACTGTGAGTAGTGGGGGTGTGCTGGAGGAATGGGGTTAGGCTCAAATTAAGCTTTTGTTTTGGGAATTTCTAAAGATATCACTATCAGTAGTAGATATGGCTTGTTCGAGTGAGCAATGTGCTTTTGCACTCGAGATGTATTTTTTTTTCAAAAATCAGTCTATTGTTGCTGTGCAACTACGATTGGCTGTCGGGTTATCGGGTGGCCTGTCACAAAGCTGTTACAATTTGGTGTGGGTGAATTACTTTCGTGTATGTGGTGGTGTATTGCGAAGGATATTTGGAGCTCAAAAAACCGTCCGGAGTCCTGAAAACATTGACCTTGTCAGAAGATTGATTTTGCAGTCTCCTCAAAGTTCTGCTTGTAAGCATGCATCTGCGCTGGCGTTGTCTAATCATACTGTGCCTCGTATTCTCCATGAGGACCTACACCTCCATCTATACAAGAGGGTAGTTGCTCATGAACTCACACAACGGGACTGGCAACAACGAATGCAGGCATGTGAAATCTTAATTGCGGGACTACCTCATGCTGCTCGGGTTTGGTTTAGTGACGAGGCACACTTCCATATTCCTGGAGCGGGTAAATAAGCATAATGTGCTCTATTGGAGTGATGCTAAGCCTAGGGTAGTTCAAGGGAAGACCCTAGATGCCTTGAAGGATGCAATTCACCTTGAATGTTGCCTCTTTCAACAACACATGCTTCACAAAGTTATTATGAACTCCAGAACCAGAATACAGCAATGCATTTAAGATTAGGGACACCACTTGCAGGATATGCTGTTTAAAACCAAGTAAAGTTATATTAAAATAAACTCCCAGATGTAACCTTTTAATCTCAATAAAAAGTTTGGTTCTAACATTTTTGGTTGTCTTTTAATTTACCTTTAAAATTAGGGATACTTCCCTGCCCCATCCTGTATGTAAGCTGAATAAATAGATCCATCAGGAAAAGATAATGTAATGTATAAATAATCGAGAACTATACTGCTAAACGTACCAATGCATAAATAATGGGAGAAAACAAATACGTATGAATAAAAGAATACAGGGTAAAAACACCAATAAAAGATTAAAATAATGAAACTAAAAAAGATGACAAATAAGCACTATAACTCAAAATAAACAGAATTAAAATCGCAACGTTACTTAAATAAATAAAGGCGAATAATTTGCCCTTGCCCAATGGCAATTACTCATGTCATAATAAAAAAATGATAATCAATTAATCAACTGCATGCATAAAATCATTGTAATAAACAGTTAAATATTATTTTGGCACATGATCGGAATTAACACTTAAATGGTACCAAAATAATTACAAATAGAGCGTGACCTTCCGGATTTTGACTGTAGAATAGATACACAAAACTTAAATGGGCTGCCACTGAAGGTAATTTAATATTTAACTTCCCTGTGAACATATTCAAGAGACAAGATTTACTCAACAATGTAAATCTTACAATCGTAGCTAATGGGTATACTTATATCGGTCAGATAGTTTCTAAGTCAATTTGACGCATGGTAAATATTGGTTATCGACTAAAACAGGGTCGCCAAGTATTCTCTACCTCAGTTGAACACACATTACCAATTATTTAAAACAAAGTTCAAATAATATAAGAATATTTCCGAACAGTTCCGCCAATATTAAACGGCCCTTCACAACCAGGAAGACAGCGAAGAACCAATAAAGGATTGAACTGTTTGGTCTGTCTTGTACTGAATATAAACTTCGCTGTTACAGCATCTTGGTTAGGTAAAACCTTACGTTCAGCTTCAATTTTAGTGGCTTAAGATAAGCCAAGTTACCATGATTACTAAAGATAAGAGTTGACCAATGAATATATTTATTTTGTTGTCTAATCTGTTACTGTTAATGCAGTAAAAATATAATGAATGGGTTTAATTGTAAGAGCCTCAACTTCTTTTGAGAGTCCTTACTATAAAACAGTTGCCTAAAAAGAAATCAAAGAAAATTTAAAACATTCGTACACTTTTATTCAATACCCTAACATTCTAGCTCTCTTAACATTTTGTGTGTTATGTACCAACCAAGATATGAACCAGAATACTTTGGGATGAGGGCAGTTCGATTTGGTTTTCATGCAAAAAAACTCCCACTAATCTTTTTTTTATCGTTGCATTTCCAGATTATTATAACTACCATACATGAAATCAGCTTTTCATTTGGGTTTCAAAAAGCTACATTTGGCTTATAAATGTAAAAAGGTGCAGTGATAAACCACATCCCATAAATAAGGGAAAATATTTGTCTAAAATAACTGGAAAGAAAAAAGGCTAAGTTGATTTGAAGAAGGGTGGAGTTGCTTAGAGTGTTTGTATGGAAAGGTTGAAATTCTTTCTAGACCGAGTGAATCACGTAATGAAGGGTAATTATTCAAATACCCTCTACTTTGCTTTCCTCTTGTACCTGGAAATGTTTTCTTCTAAATCCTTTTTAAATCTCAATTTAGAATTTTAGCAGAAACTATTCATTCCTAGCAATGTGTTCTTTGTTCGTTTGAGTCACTTATCGACATTTTCCTATGATTTCAAAAGAAAATTTGATCAAATAAATTCTCTGATTTTAAAATGACATTAGGGATATATTCTAAAGAACAGAATTGCTCTTACGATATGATTTAGGTAAAATGTTAACGTGATTAACAAAAAACTCTTCGAATCTCTCTCAGCGAATAAAGATTTTTTAGAAAGTCAAAAAATTCTGTGCTTATACATGTTTACATTTTATGTCTATGATCACATTTTAACACAGCGTGTTTTAAAATGTATGCATAGCATTCGACGTGAAAGATCGAGGATTCTAAAATGTTAGCCTGACAACTTATTATCTAATATTTAATGAGTTATATAAAATCTCGAAACAGCAAAATAAACCTACTAATAAAGCAATAGTATAAATTTTACAATAGGGATTTACAATTTCTCAATTTATATAAAAAAAAATGGTTATATAAACTTTGAGAAATTGTAAACCCCTATATTGATGGGCCAGTAAAAGGAATAATTAATAGTTTGTTGTGCAATGTTTCCATATTAACTTTTTTTAAACATATACTGTTTGTCAACTGTTGTTGTACTGTTGTTTTTCTTCTTGTCAACTAAAACTCTTTTACGATTCAAAAACCGTATCTGTTCGTTAGTTAGTACTAATTGAGTTCTAAAAATCATCAAATACACATAAAAATAGTGATGTGATAACTAAAAAAAAATTAAGAAACTTCAAAAATGACCAGCATTTTCCGAAACATTAGCTATCTTTAAAAATCGGGGCACTTTGTATTTTACGGTGTTTTTCTAATTTAGATACGATTTTAAGATCTATTTATTCTTTGCATATTCTCTCTAAACATATTCGTTTAGGATCTACAGGATGCAGAATGTACACCACAAGCAATTATTTTTACACGCTGTAAATCCTAAGCAATTAGCTTTAGAGAAAATGTCAAGAATAAGCATGTTTTTTAATCGCATTATTTACATTCTAAGACAGCCCTAAAGTATAGAGTATTCTATAATATATATCAAATTTGTTGCCGTATTGGTAAATGGTAGTCAAATTTTCATAATCCTAAACCATCCCTAAATAACATCAAAAAAGGGGGAGTGCTCCTTTATAAGTTAAATGTCCTCCTTATTATAAACAAGATTAGTGAAATACTCTGTATAACTTTTGCTTTTGATAAAATCCACACGGTTTTCATATATAATGAGAATCTTTTAAAACAGGTTTCCTAAAGCTGCAAGGAAGCTGCTGCCTCGCTCTCCGAGATATAGAAGAGGCTCTCTCCTGGCTGAGGCGAAACATCGCGTCCTTTGGAGGTGACCCTGGCAGAGTGACTCTCGTGGGCCACGACACAGGCGCAGCGCTTATCAATGCTCTTCTGCTGTCGGACACTGCAGCCGGTAAGTCCACGGGATCAAGCAAAAACCTCTAAATCTAAAAAAAACAGTTTTTATCTTGAAGTAAAATAACCAGTCATGGTTAGAATGGGAGTGGGTCCCCACTAAAAACATCCTCTACTCATACACTAGCCTGAATATACTTGTCGCATTTCATCGAATCTAGGCCAAGTTTGCCTGCATCTAAAGGGCACACCCGAGTCTAGCTGTCGTTTTCTTACACGAACTATACTGAAATCCAACCTAAGTAGTTATTTTTTTTCTTGCTTAAAGGATGCTCTAATGTGTTACCAGCAGCCCCAGTTGTCTTTATCCTCTATCATCCTCTTACAAACTGATTCAACCGAAAGTTGTTGGGTGGCCTCCTGGTGGAGTGGCGGGACATATTCCAATATGGGCAGTGGAGACAGGTGTTATGCATTGTCGTAAATTCGCGTGCAATACAGTTGGACGAGCCGGGCTTGGTCATCGAGTGCAGGTGCGAATGAAAAAGGTCGAGATCTGACAAGGTAGTAAGTAGTTCACCTCAACATGCTGCCGTTTCAACCATGGCTGGTCCTGCATGATGAATCACTGAGTTAATCGTCCTTCACTCTTTTGTATCCAGCTTTCCTGTATCTGCTGACAGGAGTTTGCCGGGAAAAAACAGAAATTACCAGAAAACCTGGTTCGGGCACTGTGCTTAAAGCGAAACCGAGTGCCGCTTGACGCAGTACTCGTACAAGCATCAACCAATTCATCATTTCTACCTTAGTAGGTCCAATGAGAAAAGTAAAATAGATCAAGCCTTTCTTTATTGAACGTGAGCGCGACTGTTCAAGGACTGCACTGAACATCAAGTCTGTCTTTTCGGCTGATTGGAGGGCCCCAAAATATGGTTAGATGCTTAGAAGTTTAAAGGCACTTCTAGCAGCCTTTTCTGTCTTACGAAGACCTGATTCCTCCAGCTCAACTTGTTATCCACCATGACACCAAAGTACTTGGTGGTTTGGCCTAGATATTAGGTGTCCATTCTTTACAGTACGATTATTATCAACTTTTTGATATCAGATATTGTTAAAAACTCATAAATTTAACATCCAATATATCTTATGATTAATTATAGAACTTAGTTTACCAAAGCACCTAAAATGTTAATTTTAGTTTGTAAATTCTGTGTTAGTTATTAATTAATACTAAGTTCACAGTATCGTAATTGCCAATTACAGTAATTCAATTTTCCAAGTACTAGTAGTTATATTCGATATAATAATGCTCGAATATCAATATTAATTAATTAAAGGATGATTTGATTAATAATTGGCAATTAAAAAGCACTAGATGTATTTATTGATTTGTATTTGCCTCTGTATTAACTTAAATATAATATTTAAGATATCACTTCATCCAAATTCATTATTATTTCAACATATTTAAAAACTATTAATAATATTATTCTAGTTCTTGCCCTTAAGGTGCATTTAGAGCTTCTCCTTGAAAAAAACGTTCATTGTAAACGAGCTTACTTTTTACATGTCCATTTATTTTTTTTTTATTATTACGCACAATTATATTATGTAACACACTTTAACAACATTCATCATTTCTACCTTAGTAGGTCCAATGAGAAAAGTAAAATAGATCAAGCCTTTCTTTTGAACCTGTGTATACTCATAAATTTAAAACTGATTCATCTAGTAAAATTCTTCTTAGAAACTAGCCAAAGATATACCATTCTTTCCGTAATGCTGAGTAAAATAAAACATTTGTAATGGTTAACAATTAATTATTGGAGTTGATCACTGTCACATGATTCAATTCAACTTCTATGACCTCAGGTTTGTTCCACCGTGCCATACTTCTCTCCGGATCGCTGCTATGTCCCTGGGCGGTTGCTGCCCGCCCAGACATTACCACCGCCCACGTCGCCGCCCAGCTAGCCTGTCCTCTAGGACCAGAACTTACAGAGTGCCTCAGACGAACCTCTCTGTCCCGGATCCTCTCCTTGGACCTCCCATCTCCCAGGTTTCTATCGACATTCGGACCTTGGTTTCCGGGAGACGTCCGTGCTATTCTGGATCGCGCAGGTGACACCTTTATATCTCGCCCACTCATGGTTGGCGTTGCCTCCACAGAGAGTTATCTAGAGTTGAATAATCACCAGGTCCAGGAAGGAGTGGAGGAGGATCAGAGGAATCGCATTTTAAGGTTGGTTGTTACTGTATTGGAAATTGGCATGGAAATTATTATTTTTTTAAGTCTACAACTGTACTTTGGTTGTATTCGATTTAAATTTAAAAGTGGTGTCTTAGTTAAAACCAGTTGGCTTTTTTGAGTTTTAAGATTTATTAAATTACGTGTCCAGAATATCTAAACGCAAAGTACTCGATAAAGTTAGTGCTTGCTAGTTCAATATGTAATAGTCGTTTGTACAATCCTTTTGGTGTACGCTACTATGTCCAAATGTAGACAAATATCTTGAGAATTCACGTCTAAGGTTAAACATATTTTATACACACATATTTTATTGATAAAAGTTTATAACACCTACTTGAACCCCAATTATAAGTACAGAATCGGAGGTTTAGTCTTGTTATCGTACACACTTAACCAATTGATAAGAACTTCAATATAGTGACGTGTAAGTTTGATAAAAAAAAATTGTATTACCATATGAATTAGTGTAATAACTCTATCACTTAGTAGAGGACTAGGATTAAGTAATTAGTATAAAACGTTTAGAATTGTGATTTTTCATCTAAAGCATCAATATTCAATGTATATTATTTGCCAATTGTATTTCAGTTAAATTTCACTATCACCCTAGCTAACACCATCTCCTATGTGTATCATACATGGTAATTACTACAAAACTTTATTCTTACCTTAAATATGAATTGTTCCTTTTAATCTGTGGTTACACAAAATAATATAGTTCACATCTTGGTCCAAAAGTAAGTTTCCAACCTCTAACTTACCTAAACGTTTAATTGGAGTTTGTTAGACTAGTCGCAATTTATAACCCTATTTATTAACTATGCGACTAGCCAAATAAAAAATTTTTAAAATGTATCATTTATAGTTTATTTTTATTTTGGTTGTAAAGTGTAAATGTTTATTAGATTCTTCGTTGAGGGGAACGACACTTTTTTATATCAGGACAAGTCATTTAGTGGTACAGTAGTTGGAAAGATTTTCTCAGACGTCGTGATAGTAAATTACAATATAGTTGTCAATACTACCTGACTGAAACAAAATCTGTGATTGATCACTGAAAAAGTAAAGTTAACACATTTCGTCTCTGCATCTTCTAAAGTGTCCAACTCAACGTTGACAAGGATTAACGACCTCTTTCCAAAAGAGATGTTGGATTTATTGGTGTGAGTGAAACAATTATTTATTTGTGGCTACCACGTTGGAAATTGATTTAATGTCGGTGTGCTTGTTAAAGAATATATCAAGAGAATGTTAAAATAGTAATTGTAAATACTTTGAAATTAAACTAACCACCTCTAATTAACTTTTAAATTTGTAAAAATCTAATCTTTAAGTAGAAATGAAATAAGAATATCCTAAAGAGATATTTTCCAATAAATCCATGTCAAGTAACAGCTCTACAATTCATAAAACATGTTTTAACAACTCTGATGAGAAAGGTATTCGCCTTTGTTCGGGTAAAACCGACTTGTGAGTTCAACCGATCAATAAAACAATAGCGCCCTTACCTCCCGCATATTTCAACAAAAGCAATATGTAAATTCCAACCCGAACTTTCTGCTTTGCACAACTTGATGAATAAGACCTTTCCGGACAGTTGAGAACACTTAACCACGAAGAGAGGTGGTTTATCTTCAAAACTCTAACAGGATTTGAAGTTTTAGTATCGTTTCAGAACTTTCGTCCGAAACACCTTCGTGTATCATCTCAACGAGTTGTTCTCTACGGTACGCAATGAGTACACGGACTGGGACAAGCCCATCATACATCCTATCAATCTCCGTGACTCTCTACTAGAGGCGCTCAGTGATGGGCACACAGTGTCTCCTGTGGTACGTCTAGCCTTAACACACTCCAGGAGAGGATCTACCACATACATGCTACACTTCAACTACCAGACCAAGGAGACTGACTATATACAGGTATCATTGCTTATATTAGTTACATAAACGCATCATACATCCTACCAATCTCCGTGACTCGCTACTAGAGGCGCTCAGTGATGGACACACTGTGTCTCCTGTGGTACGTTACTATCTGGATGTTACTATCTAACGTCAACCTTTTTTTGGGTATCATCAAATGATACTTTAAAAGTCTCCTCTAGATACGTGATCATTCACGCTTGATTCAAGCCAGAAACCACCAAATTTGAAGGAGGTTGAAGTGTAACAGGCAAAAGGTTTTATTGAAGTATTTACTTCTGTAGTCAACGAAGAAAGTAAGAGATTTTGAGATCAAAGGGAGGGGAGAATTAATTACATTGACATCGAAGGAGACAAAGGAGACTTGGCTTGTATCTTTACTTCAGCAAGATTGCGTAGGTTGTATCTCAATCAAGCCACTTTTAAAAGTTTTTTTATACATTACCTGGCGTTTAACAAGAAATTCAAGTAATACGGTTAAGTCAACTTAGACATGTGCGTAACTAATGACTCCAACGTAGTGGAGGTAAATTACAATTAGTTGTCAATACGCTCTGACTGAAACAAAATCAGTAATTGATCACTGTGAAAGTAAAGTTAACACATTTCGTCTCTACATCTTCTAAAGTGTCCAACTCAACGTTGACAAAGATTTACGACCTCTTTCCAAAAGAGATGTTGGATTTATCGCTGTGAAACCACCATTTATTTGTGGTTATCAGGTTTGCAATTGAGAATATATTTTACTGTACGTCTATCTGTCATCATTTGTATCCCTCTTCAAATAAAAATAACAACATATTTACATGCACGTTCCTAATTACTATGACTTGGTCGTGAAAATAATTAGCACGTGATTATTGTTACGTGAGTAGAAAGCTGAAATAATAGTTTAAGTATAAACCATATATTTGTACAATTTAAATCATTCGAATAAAACTTAATATCATACTTATTTTAACTTTACTATATTTTATAACGTATGTTTTATTCTATTTAGATTGTTAAAAATATTTAATGTGCAAATAGGTAAGTACTTCTAGAAGTAAGATGCTAGTTTTACAGTCGTGATAGAAAATGTCTACATTCATTTCTTAAACTACACAAAATTTGGTCAGAAGAAAACAGAATTATTTCATTTTCTACGATACGTAAGCTAAAATATTTGTTTATAAAATGTAACTTAACCACGTGTGTTAATATAAATATTTTAACTACAAATAATTGCAAAAAATGTTATTTACAGGTTGAATTGGTATTCAGTTAGTTCTTTTCCTTTAAAGTGTCAGAGAAACTTGAGGTGAACATTCAACGATAAAACTAGTTACATAATGAAGTTGTCAGAGTTTGTAGTTACATTTCAAAGGTTGACCTCAACTGTCAACTCTTATTTAATGTTGCAGCTTTACCATTAACCTACTTTACTGTTAGAAGTAATACGACTACAATAGAAATTAACAGAATGTCAATAATTTCATTTTAACTTTTGATGACTATTGGTAATTCTTGTGAAGAATCATTGATATTTTTCATATACTATACAGTATTTAAAGTTGCAAAAAAATCCTTGCAAAAACTGATAAACCTAGAGCTCGTTTTATCCAAATAAAGCTTTTAACTGAGCTTGGCTGTTTTTTCATATATAATCGTTATTTTTGCTTACCATTAGGATGAGTAAAATGCCTAAAGAAGATTTGTTTCGAAATGGCCAATGATACATTCCTAAAGTAATAACATGGAACAGGCATATATGGATATTTTTATATCTATTTATCGTCTGCTTGTATTCCTTGATGTTTTCAGAGGCTGGGAAGTCTCCGGGGTGAGATCATCCCCTACCTGCTGGGGTTCCCGTTGGTGGGGGGAGACCCCTTGTACCCAGCCAATCACACACATGCTGACATAGCCGTCTCGGAACATCTGCTGACGCTGGCCACCAGATTTGCACGGACAGGGTATGTAGTGTCCACATAAAAAATATGTAATTCTAAATATTTTATAAAGCAAGAAAGTTATTCAATCAACTGTAGGTTAATCAACAGTATTAATAATTATTTTTTTTACAAAGCACGTCTTAAACAATTTATGTAGATATAGTAAGATACATTATGACTGTCTGTGTTCTTTACAATCGTAATGAAAAAAATCGAGCACAGATGAAATGCAAATATTCTCTTTAATTACAAGTAGCGTCTTTAAAATCCCTGTCCCTTTAAAATCAAGGGTTAGGGAAATGGTGATAATAATTTGCCATCTATGATATATTTTTGTATTTCAAGCAATAAAATAATTAAATCTAATATTTTTTATCATATTTAAATGCTTTATGTTTTTTGTCTGTTTAAAATAGGCCATTATAATTTAATTCTTAGCACTGGTTTGTAGCGCCATATGAAATCTTATTTAAAAAAATGACCATTTTTACATACCGTTCAAACTGGTTTATGTTCAGGGACCCTAACAGAGCAGTTAGAGGGAAAGGAGGCTCAGATATATCAAGATCAAGAGATGATCATCACCATGGCCTGCACTGGGATACCTACAACCCCAACACACAACTATATCTGAGTCTAGGTTGGTATCTATCTAGTAAAAACCTTATGTTTAGTAAATAACTATCGATCTCCTTAACATTTAATTGTCATTTTCAAAAGTGTTGACTTTTAAAATTAAATAGACTTTAGCTGAGAAAAATGAACTGCTCTTGCATTTATTGACACGATCGTTGAATAATCGTAACCTCAAAATAATAATATTTAGGTCTAAAAATGAATCATACAACAGTATTAATTTTCAAAAGCCTTTTAATCAGGATGAATGGCAAAATTTTCATATGAAAGCGTTAAAGCACTTATAAACATCCATTATGACTTGTACACAAACCTGATTTAATCATTCTTATGAAAATGCACTCAAGAACAAAAAAATCCCTGTATTAATCCTTTTTAATTATTTGCAATAAACTGCCACACTGATGTTTGATTAACATTTAAAAATACTTAAAACTCCTAAGTAATCGGTTGAATAATTTGAGAGTTATCTTCCATCTGATCACACCCTGTTGTTTCAAAACAACCCGTTGTTTTCGAGTACACAACACTGCAAAACACTTCATCGGAACACATTTCACACAAACAGCTTATTGCAAACTCCACAGAACTAGTCTTTTTTTTATCAATGTAGCCTAAATAATTTTGACGTTTACATTAAGTTTTAAAATATTTTAAGATTATTTTTCTTTATGTAAATAGCCCACAAAAGCCGTGTTAAAAGAGCATAAAAACTGGGTCACCTTTGTTCACTCGAAAGGTCACAGTTTTCATGCAAGCGACTTTGTTGGTAGTTTTACATATTTTATGAGCGAAGACTCAGCGAAATAAAAGGACCAAGAGGCACTTTTCGCCGGTGCTAATAAAAATGTGAGCACTCTTGAAAACCCTTCCGCTTAACAGCCTACACTTTGTAAGTGTTTCACAAGTTAAAAATATCAACCTGACATACTAAATGTAACTGGCTTAAAATTTATGTTTAAAGTGCGGTTTCTTAATATAAAAATAAAATTAGCAGCTAAACTCAATAATTACAATGTGTTAGATATTATTATAGTCAAAGGTATCATCATGAAACAATTTAAAATTGGCCTTTTATTTACCAAATTTAATTGACTCCACCGCAGAGAAGAAAGATACTTTGGACCTTTGAAAATTATTAAAGCCCTCCCAAGGCCTTTTTATTCAATAGTACAAACGAAATATTCTATTCAGATCACAACTGAAATAATAGTTGGAGCAAATGGTTTCCTTACTAAATGCTTGGATCACCTAAAAACAACTAAAGGGCATATTTAATGTTACAGAAACCCGAATGTTCAAGTCGTATACAAATGTTAATTTATATTTGATTATCGTCGTATTTGTTTTAATTTTAGAAAAATACAAAACCTTTCAAAGAAAAATGTTCTTTAAAAGACATTTAACATGTAATAGTAGTTTACGCAACGATTGCGTAAAGATAGTGTTAACGACACGAGTAGAAAATTTAAGGTACGAGCCAGTTACGCGAGTTGCGTTCACTATTTTACCTACGATAGTGTTTTAATTACTAAAAACCACTACTCATAGCTTATAAGAGAGGTTATGTTTTTGTTTATTACCTCTCATTGTCACTGACAGTGATGTAACGAAACATTGTATCAAACCAATCAACAATTAAATTGGCCTGAACAGCTGATTAGTTTAATTTCGAATCATTACAATTTTACTTTTCTTCTCTCAATCCTTCAATCTCATTGGTCCGTTACCAGTGTTGTTATGAGTAAAACTATGCTGTTATAAAAAGTAAACAATGCTGTTATGAGATACTTTTCAATTCTAAGAACTGTACTGAAACGGCTACTTTAAAAAACGGTCGTAGGTAAAAATATTAACAATATGACTCTTGATTTAAGAAGATTAGAAACCAAATACACCAACAGAAAACGTTGCTGTAATTTATTTACAAACCTTAAGTTCTGACCATATCCATGATAGAGAGAGAAGGATGACTAAGGGTCATTGAAACCCATTAGAAAGGCCGGTCGAGTGTCCCTGAGCCAATAATATGGATTGCCTCTTGAACCAGGGAGGAGAGGGTAATGTGGAAGTTAAATAAGACAATTATCCATCACAAGGTATGTTCATTAGTTTATACATAACATGGCCTTTATAAGGGTCCATTGCTTTAATAAATTATAAGAACGGTTATAATTAGAAATTTATCTAAATAGTTCTGTTAGTTCTTCTGTTATCTACGTAATAGCTATAAATAAAATTTTCAAAAGGCTAGGTACATAAATAGGATGAGTACATCTCTACGAATTCCTCTACGAGCATTTGTCTTAATCTGATGTGACCATGACAGTAAATAGTTTTATCTGTTGCATAAATGTTGACTTTTTCTCATAACTTCACCAATCTATTACTTTACAAATTTGGTGGTCCGAAAATTGGAATTAAACATATTGAATTAGAAGATTTATTTAAATTATAAACTTGTTATGTCTCTTCAGAGTAATGGCGTTTGTTAGTCCACGGGTAGCTTGAAATATGCAGCTCAGCAGCTGGTTTGCTCTTTTACATTATAAAATCGGTATTCTACCAATAGAGAAGTCTAAGTGAGCAGACCTGCCTTGAGTCTTTTCCTACTTAGCCTCTCTTCAGAGGTTGGTTCATAACGGAGCAATCTTTCATGTGTCACACCGTATTGTTACTGTCCTTATATTAGCAATAATATTTACTCTTGTTTGTTGCAGGTACGAGGAGTCGAATGCGCAGTCACTACCGAGGACACAAGATGTCTGTATGGCTCAACCTCATTCCTCAGCTTCACAGGCCAGGAGACAGAGATGTGGCTATGAGACATCACCACTTCCAGGAACGAGACCATCGCCATTATGATGGTAAATTCAACAAAAACACGGCTTACACATATTATTTAAAATAATTTGATTATGCAAGGCCAGGATATTTTTAAGAGCGTTACGAATAGAAGTCATACACCTCACCCTGTAGCAGCTGGGTACAGCTCAACAGATTCTTAATCGTAGACCGAATACCATCGAAAGTCATGTCACCAGTCAATGCTACAAACCCAAACTATACATTTTAACTATGGTATTTCTGACTAAGTAAATATTTTTATTGCCATACAGTCAATGTTATATTCATGGATAATATATATTATACTAGCATAGTATGTTTGACATTTTTGGCAGTAAAAATCACAATATGTTCATATAAATCCTATTTTTACTTGTCTTAGGTATTCACTTATTTTTAAATTAAAAAACGATTTGTTAACAATAAATCATTATTTCAGGAGCGGTAAGGCCAGAGACATTGACTCATATTACAACCCCATCAACTACAACCTTGATGGCGGAGAAGGAGGATTGTGAAAACACTACAGACGAGGAGGGTCAACCTCAGCCAAGCACTGAGGACCGCAACACCCCAGTTCCTCTGGCTCCTGAGACAGCTCCAACACAAGATAAGTCAGGTATGAGAATAGTAGAGAGGACAACCTCAGCCCAACACTAAGAACCGCAACACCCCAGTTCCTCTGGCTCCTGAGACAACTCCAACACAAGATAAGTCAGGTATGAGAGTAGTAGAGAGGACAACCTCAGCCCAACACTAAGAACCGCAACACCCCAGTTCCTCTGGCTCCTGAGACAGCTCCAACACAAGATAAGTCAGGTATGAGAATAGTACAGAGGACAACCTCAGCCCAACACTAAGAACCGCAACACCCCAGTTCCTCTGGCTCCTGAGACAACTCCAACACAAGATAAGTCAGGTATGAGAGTAGTACAGAGGACAACCTCAGCCCAACACTAAGAACCGCAACACCCCAGTTCCTCTGGCTCCTGAGACAACTCCAACACAAGATAAGTCAGGTATGAGAGTAGTACAGAGGACAACCTCAGATTAACACTAAGAACCGCAACACCCCAGTTCCTCTGGCTCCTGAGAAATCTGCAACACAAGATAAGTCAGGTATGAGAGTAGTAGAGAGAGGAAAACCTCAGACCAAAACTAAGAACCGAAACACCCCAGTTCCTCTGGCTCCTGAGAAATCTGCAACACAAGATAAGTCAGGTATGAGAGTAGTAGAGAGAGGAAAACCTCAGACCAAAACTAAGAACCGAAACACCCCAGTTCCTCTGGCTCCTGAGAAATCTGCAACACAAGATAAGTCAGGTGTTACGAATTGAATTTAATAGACTTTGGTTTCATACCCACAATTTAAAAGACTTTGGTTTAATCAACTACTGTACTGTGTGGAACTAACATATGTTCATATGTTTGATTTAATTATTCTGATTTGTAAACAAGGTAGTGATGTTATTGATTTTTTTAAGAATACAGTTTCTTTTAGTAAGTGAATAAAAGAGGTTTTTGTTTTAATTACTCGTTAGAACCTGAAGGGAATATTTAATATTTTTTAAGGAATTTCCCCTAAGTTGTAATATATGGCGACCGTGACAGGACGTGATAACGAGTAAATTTGACCCTGTTTTATTGAACACTGATTACTGAAACAGTGAATTGGAAAACATGGCTGAACTAACAAAACTAAAGAAATCAAGATCGGCTATTCGAAGGACATTTACTGTGACAGTTAAAAAACTTGATGATATTTTAAAGGAAGAAATAGTTGATTTTATACAAGTATCAGCACAGCTTGAAGTAATAAATAATCATTTTTGCACTCTCAACGACCTAAATTCATCAATATATGATAAATTATTAGATGGTGATGCGAGAGATGAAGACATTGATGAAGAACTTCAAGGGCAAAATGAATATATTGTACAATATCATCTTATTTCTAAGAAAGTGGAACATCTAAAAAGTAATGAAATGAATTCACATCAAGATGAAAGGAGTGAAACAACGCAAAAAGGCTCAGGATCGGGTAAAGCAGGACGCTCATACAAGCTACCTTATCTGAAACTAAAAGAGTTTAACGGGGAACTAGGTGAGTGGCTCCCATTTTGGTCTCAATTTAAGAAGATCGACGAAGACCAGAATGTAGACCCAGCAGATAAGATCCAGTACCTTATAATGGCAACTGCGGTTGGATCGCCTGCCCGTGACTTGGTTGAAAGCTACCCTGCGACGCCTGAAATGTACAACGAAGTTGTTGAAGCTCTAAAGAGTCGATTCGGAAGAGACGATCTTTTGAAGGAGTATTACATGAGGCAAATGTTGGCTCTAACGATACAGAACGTCACAAGTAAAGAAAAACCAACTTTGTCGGTTCTTTATGACAAGATCCAGTCACACTTAAGGAATCTTAATGCACTGGGAGTGACTTCAGAGCATTGTGCCTCACTGCTATTTCCAATGGTAACATCAAGTCTGCCCGAAGACGTCCTCAAACTTTGGCAGCGAACAACGAACCATAACTCTAACAATCATGAAAGTTCATCCAAAGAAGTTCTGGAGAATCTATTGACGTTCCTTAAAAACGAGGTAGAGGGAGAACAAAAAGTCTCCATGGCATTGGAAGGGTTTGGATTTGCAAGTACCAAACACAATGTAAAACATCCCTCAAGTTCCTTTGAAGATTCGTGGGGATCTTCTACCAAAACAAGTAAAGGTTTTGAGAAGCCAAACAATTGGAAGCCTTTTGAGAAACAGCCTTCGGCGGCGGCATTTGTATCGACTACAGAAGGTACTTATTCATTGACTTGTGTGTTTTGCGATAAAAACCACAGATCTCAAGATTGTGTGAAAGCTTTGGATATGACTCTTCTTGAACGAAAAGATATTTTAAAGAAGAAAGGATCTTGTTTCAAGTGTTTAAAAGGTCGACACATGAGCAATTCCTGTAAAGCTATGGTAAAGTGTGCAGCTTGTTTAAGAAAACACTATCCGATTATGTGTGAAGATCTTCAAAAGAAAACTACCCTTTCCTTAAATAAAACTGAAAAATCTGATGAACAGAAAACTATTTCTGAGGATAGTACAAGTCAGGTATTAGTGTCGAGTACTAGTAAATCAACAGTGGTTTACCTAAGCACGCTTCTTGTGAAAATCGTCGTGGGATCCCAAGAACACACAGTTCGTGCGTTGATCGACTCTGGAAGCCAAAAAAGCTATATTTTGAAATCTTGTGCGACTGATTTAAAACTGAAGAGAATAGGTAAAACCATGACGAGTCAAGAGTTGTTTGGGGGACAGAAAACGAATTTAAGGTCTCATGGAGTTTATTCTGTAAAACTTCAATCCACAACTGATGGTTTTAATGAGGATTTCAAAGTTTTGGACACACCTCTTATCTGCGGATTCATACCTAAAGTGTCGGACGTCAAAATATATGAAAATCTCAAAGCAAAAGGTGTGATTTTGTCAGATTTTTGTGAATCCTCAGAAGAAGTAAGTGATATACAGTTGCTTCTTGGAGCTGAAAGTTGGCCTAAATTGATTACATCGGAGTATGTAAAAGTAGGTAATGATTTGGCTGCTGTGAAAACAAAACTAGGATGGACACTAGTTGGTGAATCTGAATCAGACAGTGAAACTAGAATGACTTCTTCGATGTTATTGACTCTTACTAATCAAGTTAATCTCTCTCACTTTTGGGAACCTGAACTTTTAGGAATTAAGGACCCTGGTACGAAAAAACTTCAGAGTGAAAATGATAGTCAAGTAGCTGAGTTTTTTGAAAATACTGTCCAACAAGAAGATTCTGGGAGATATGTTGTGAAACTTCCTTGGAGTGAAGGACAGCCTGTACTAGAGGACAACAAATACGTCGCAGAAAAGAGACTTTGTTCTACTACCAAAAAACTGAAACTTATTGGTAAGTACGATGATTATGATTCTGTGTTTGATTCATGGCTTAAGCTTGAATCGATCGAGAAAGTTCCCGAAGATGAGATAAATAATATTAATGTACACCTAGAGATCCTGACTTTTCTGAGGACGTCTGCCCTAATACAAGCGCTCAGACGCTTCATATCAAGAAGAGGAAGACCGAAGATTATACAATCAGATAATGGGATGAATTTTGTTGGACTTGACAACGCATTCAATGATTTAGATTGGATCAAAATTGAAGAGGAATGCAGTATTCAACGAATAAAGTGGAAATTTAATGCTCCCGCTGCACCATGGTGGGGAGGATATTGGGAGCGGTTGATACGTGTATTAAAGGACCTTCTTAAGAAAACCTTAGGACGAGCCTCACTGTGTTGTGTGACTATCTTATGAACAGCCGTCCCTTGACTCATGACCGTGATAACAAGAATGAACTTACGAATGGTTTTATACAAATTGTGAGTTTACTGATTTTATGAATTAAGTGTTTGTAAATTGTCGTCGAAATACTCAATTTACAAAGGTGGGGAGTGTGTTACGAATCTATATATTTAATACACAGTTGTAACACTGTTTAGATTTATGTCTCAAATTAAAGGGGATAGTGTGTAGATTTGCCGAACTTCCTTAGAATTTACGTTTTTTCTAAGGGCTACGACCTACAGCCCTTTAAAGGTCGAGTCAATACAATTCTTATTGAAGAATATAATGCACAGTTTATAAATTATTCGTCAGCTGGTTAATGTTTGTCAAACATTTGTTATTATTTTTATAACCTCACTTTCAGTATGCAATTTTTAAACTTGGAGTTTCTGTTTATAAACACACGATTTTGATCAAGGAAAGTGTATTGGTTAACTTATTTTTGAAATGTTTTAGTTTTCCTGCAAAGTGATCTGAAGGAAAGTGGTAATTAAGTTTAAGTTTGAGTATGGAATGTGAAATAATACCCATGGTAGGGAACGGAAACTTATTGTTTTGATCAATATAATTTATTCTCTACGGCCACCAGAATAATCATGGGGAAATCCGCTTGCAAGTTGTACATATAATTGCTAATGAGTGGGAAACATACACAAATTTTATAGTAGGTGACGAATCTTACTCAAGATCAGCGTTAGACGTTCAGTGGTACCAAACTTTACCTTCTCGAGATGGCGAGTACGCTGGGATACGTGGAACTACAATATATAAGTGATTTTTTTTCAAGTACACAGGGAAGTTGCTTGAGAAACTGTGACTTACCATTCGCTTCTGGCGAAGAAGTATGTGACTTGATGTTTAATGGCAATGTTGACTCGGGTCATTATAGCGTTATAAAACTTTATCATTAACACCCAGGGTATGAAAAGTACAAAAAGAAAAAGAAAAGGTAATCATTAACCGGGCGTAAAGAGACATAGGACCGAACGAAAAAAAATGTAGAGAACCATCGAACTAAAAAGGTAAAGAGCAGTGTTGGTGTTAAATGTGCTCTGGAAGTCCCAACAAAAAAATACCAATTCTTTTGAATTGGGGTCGTTAGATTGGATTTGTCTCTACTTCAAATCTATGAATTTCGAGTCAAAACAGACTAACTGGGACACAAAAATGTTTTAGTTTTCCTGCAAAGTGATCTGAAGGAAAGTGGTAACTGAGTTTAAGTTTGAGTATGGAATGTGAAATAATACCCATAGTAGGGGACGGAAACTTATTGTTTTGATCAATATAATTTATTCTCTATAGCCACCAGAACAATCATAGGGAAATCCGCTTGCAAGTTGTACAGATGATTGGTAAGCATACAAACATTTTATCGTAAGTGATTAATCTTACTCAAGATCAGTGTTCGACGTCCACATTTGGGATATTTGGAACTACAATTTATCAGTGAACTTTACCCTAACTATATTTTTTCGAGTAGGCCTACACACTCTTTTTTTTGAAGTCCCTTCTAAAAAATACCAATTTTTTCAAATTGGGGTCGTTAGATTGGATTTGTCAGTACTGCAAATCTACGAATTTTGAGTCAGAACAGACTAACTGGGACACAAATATTTTTTCCTTATGTTGTCACAAGGGGAAGGTAAAATGAACTCCTTATCAACATTTTGAGTTTATGGAAAATCTTATCAACAGCGACTATAAAAAAGTATTAAGGGTCAAAGGAGACAAAAAACTATTTGAGTAAAATATAGTACAAATCTGCATTTGAAATGGCCAGTTCTAAGTCTCACTTGAATCAACATATTTCTGGTAGTGGTAGTCTACATAGTTTTAAAATCCACGACTCCTTTTCCATCAAATTGGACCGTTAATACCCTCTAACATTGAACAAAGTATGCCCAACTTTATATATACGACGTAAACACAGCTTTTACTCACAGTATGGGTCTAAGATTCGGGAAATACGACCAACTGCTGATGCGTGATTTACATGTAGGCTAAGTGACTATCTTTATTCCATACAACAAATGTAATGAAAAAAAAAAAAACGACGAATATAGGATTATACTTGAGCAAATTATCTAAATAGCATAAATAGCTGCTTATTAGGTTATCAGCATTGCCCAGTTCGTATACTATTTATTTTTCAAGTGAAACTCGAATTAATATAAAACATTCATTTGGTTAAAATAATATATCGGTTTGATTAACATAAAATAGTTTATACAGGCAAACTATCAGTTCTATTTCATGTAAAAAATTAAACAACCCCTAAATAAAATACAAAGATAAACAATATTAGTTAATTATTATTTCTTTTATTGCTGACAATATTCCCGTGGCAGAGCACGGGCGGTTAACTAGTTGAATTTAATAGACTTTGGTTTCATACCCACAATTTAAAAGACTTTGGTTTAATCAACTACTGTACTGTGTGGAACTAACATATGTTCATATGTTTGATTTAATTATTCTGATTTGTAAACAAGGTAGTGATGTTATTGATTTTTTAAGAATACAGTTTCTTTTAGTAAGTGAATAAAAGAGGTTTTTGTTTTAATTACTCGTTAGAACCTGAAGGGAATATTTAATATTTTTTAAGGAATTTCCCCTAAGTTGTAATATCAGGTATGAGAGTAGTAGAGAGAGGACAACCTCAGCCCAACACGAACCGCAACACCCCAGTTCCTCTGGCTCCTGAGAAATCTGCAACACAAGATAAGTCAGGTGTTACGAATTGAATTTAATAGACTTTGGTTTCATACCCACAATTTAAAAGACTTTGGTTTAATCAACTACTGTACTGTGTGGAACTAACATATGTTCATATGTTTGATTTAATTATTCTGATTTGTAAACAAGGTAGTGATGTTATTGATTTTTTTAAGAATACAGTTTCTTTTAGTAAGTGAATAAAAGAGGTTTTTGTTTTAATTACTCGTTAGAACCTGAAGGGAATATTTAATATTTTTTAAGGAATTTCCCCTAAGTTGTAATATATGGCGACCGTGACAGGACGTGATAACGAGTAAATTTGACCCTGTTTTATTGAACACTGATTACTGAAACAGTGAATTGGAAAACATGGCTGAACTAACAAAACTAAAGAAATCAAGATCGGCTATTCGAAGGACATTTACTGTGACAGTTAAAAAACTTGATGATATTTTAAAGGAAGAAATAGTTGATTTTATACAAGTATCAGCACAGCTTGAAGTAATAAATAATCATTTTTGCACTCTCAACGACCTAAATTCATCAATATATGATAAATTATTAGATGGTGATGCGAGAGATGAAGACATTGATGAAGAACTTCAAGGGCAAAATGAATATATTGTACAATATCATCTTATTTCTAAGAAAGTGGAACATCTAAAAAGTAATGAAATGAATTCACATCAAGATGAAAGGAGTGAAACAACGCAAAAAGGCTCAGGATCGGGTAAAGCAGGACGCTCATACAAGCTACCTTATCTGAAACTAAAAGAGTTTATCTTTGAAAATAAAATACAAAGATAAACAATATTAGTTAATTATTATTTCTTTTATTGCTGACAATATTCCCGTGGCAGAGCACGGGCGGTTAACTAGTTGAATTTAATAGACTTTGGTTTCATACCCACAATTTAAAAGACTTTGGTTTAATCAACTACTGTACTGTGTGGAACTAACATATGTTCATATGTTTGATTTAATTATTCTGATTTGTAAACAAGGTAGTGATGTTATTGATTTTTTAAGAATACAGTTTCTTTTAGTAAGTGAATAAAAGAGGTTTTTGTTTTAATTACTCGTTAGAACCTGAAGGGAATATTTAATATTTTTTAAGGAATTTCCCCTAAGTTGTAATATCAGGTATGAGAGTAGTAGAGAGAGGACAACCTCAGCCCAACACGAACCGCAACACCCCAGTTCCTCTGGCTCCTGAGAAATCTGCAACACAAGATAAGTCAGGTATGAGAGTAGTAGAGAGAGGACAACCTCAGCCCAAAACTAAGAACCGCAACACCCCAGTTCCTCTGGCTCCTGAGAAATCTGCAACACAAGATAAGTCAGGTATGAGAGTAGTAGAGAGGGTCAAAACAATTATATAAAAATAATTATATTATCAAGCACACATTTTGAAAATGTCGCAAAACTAGAAATTGGCCTCAAAGGCAATAGTGATAATTGGCCTTGTAAACAAATCTACAAATATACAACTCACGTTCTACTCTATTATCTAAACACTGATTATATCAAATTTTGTTAAACAGGAGTAGGAGCAACTGTGGTAGTCGGTGTGATGTTGTCAATCCTGAATGCTGCTGTGATTTCTGCTACTCTCTGGCTGCGGCGACGTCAACACCAGGCGAGGATGTCGAGGAAACTTGAAGAGTTGGGAACTATGAGTGTGGCAACCTTCTCTAGAAACGTGCCTCCAGCCACTCCAGTCAGGACGTCTAGCTTGGGACATCGAACTCCTTTGGACGACGAGATATCAGTCTGATCATGTTCATCATTACTTGTAACCACTTACAAAGCAAGCAATCCAATATGGATATGCGTAAAGTAGTTAAAATCGGTGTGAAGGTGTGATCATATTTTTACGGGACCCGGGTCAAGTTAAGACAAGAAAAGCATTCACAGATGTAATTTTTTGTTGCACACCATAACCATTTCTTGTAATACATTTTACAGAAATATATATTCTAGTAGTCTCCATATGTAAATACTTGTAAATAAAAACAAGAGCAACTGGAGATACCGTAACGATGGACGGTCATTGTAAACGTATCATTTATGTGAACAGTTAGGTGATTTTGTATAGTAAAATATGTATACAATAAATTATAAGTGATTTTATAATCATAAGAAGGTGAACTTACCAGTTGTACGTCACTCTTTGTAAGATAATAATAAACGAAGTTTTGAAATAAACTGAATCTTTTTTCCTATTTTCGATGAAATAAGAAATAAATTAGTAGGCATTATCAGGAGAAAGTTAAAATTATTAAATAAATAGTAATACGATTTAGTGGGGCAATATTATAATGGATTGTTTGGATGTAGGCACTGTAATGGATTATTCTATTATATTTGAAAGTTTGAAAACTGATAGAAAATATTTGTGTGAGTTTTTTGTTTTAAATTTTAACCAGTCAACAATATCCAGTTTAGATGTTGGCAATATTCAGCAGGTTCTTGTTTAAATACACTGAGTAGTATAAGTCCCAGGGGCGACAAGAAGAGAGAGTTTCCTATTTCAGGTGAACAACCCGTGTAAAAGAAGGTTACATGAACATATCAATACATCGTCAGTAATGTTCTTGATGAAAAATGCAAGATTTAGCTTTGGTTATAATGTTTATAATAACCCGGCGTTTGATAAAAATCTATTATGAAACGACGAATTTCTAAGAGTGTCTCGAACTAAAAGCATTTCTGTTTTGGTTATGCTAAACCGTATAAAGAATTAGTTTTTATTTATTCAACTATAAAAAAATCACATCCTCAATCGATGCCCTCAGATATGTAATTTAATCCATTGATATAATTACATGAATTGTACTCAGAGGGCTACATATCGTGCAACTATTTCGTAGTACTCCCGTGTAGTAGATCTCATTTGGAATTAGTATATTTCATAACAAGAGTAGAAGTGAACCTTTACATATTTTGAGACCATGTTTGAAGTGCGAGATAAATCGAGCACTTTTAATGGTTGAGAATATGTAGGCCTATAGACCCACTTTCACTCGTCACTTTTCGATACACTACAAAGACATATATTATTTTCTTAATTAAAATAGAAGTTGGATATCACCTTATTATAAATAGGAACATGACAAATTTAAAGTTAATATTCAACATTCGTTGACCTACACAAAGACGAGTTTTAATATTTCGGTATCTTATCACTCTATTCTCCAAAGGCTTGGCTTTACGCATCATCTGTCACCGCACATGAGATCGCACGAGAACGATTTCAGTCTTTCAACCATGCAGAAACAAATTGATGTTTGCTTACATTATTTATCAATCCAAATATTTATCAGAACATAGCTGCAAGTAATTAATAACCTAAAACTTCTTACTATAATTTATTATAGCATTTATACTAGATATGAATACTTCTCTGTCTTTTATTTTCAAACAGCCTTTTACTGATAGTATTTTTACTTAAATTAATACTAGTGGCTAAAATACACTCTTCTCTTTATATTGCATTGCCTTGAAAACGTCAAGTCTACGTATTATTGAATCGTATTTACGTTTCTGTACAACCACGTAATCAGATATATATATTTTAATATTGCAGCCAATGAGTATACATATTATGCCACTACTAAACTGATAAAGAAACCTTCAGGGCTCTGCCAACATGAATGTTTAGCTACAGAAGAGGTTTATGAAATCAAAGTAAACAAAACGTTACATGAAACCCACAACACCAAAACAGTTCCATTAATTAAATTTACTTTAGGAGAGCTTACAACCACCACACTCGTTTATTATTCGTTAAATTAATTGTTTCGCGGACATAATGGGTCCAGCTCCGATTAATTTGTGTAAATTTATTTGTTAAACCCTAATTGAGTGTCGAGTCTATGTTTTCAACTACTTTGCATACTAAATAATTTCAATCACGATTAACAACATATTTTTTAGATGTAGTGTAAGGTTAATCATTAAACATATTCATATCATACAACATGAATTGATTTTATTTTTATATTCTACCATGCAGATGTATTTGTTATCTTTTTGATGATTGAAATTTTATTTTTGTGGGATTGATCATCACGTTGACCTAAACCTTACCTTATGGATAATATGCTCTAAATGATAAGAATACCTTGTTTTAATTAGGGAAGTGATCAATACCCTTATCTCAATTTGTTTCAAACTGTCTTAGGTTAAAGGTTGAAGTCTTTTCTTTTTTAATACTATACCACTTTATCTTTTTCTAGAAATATATCATTTAATTATACAGACTTTAACATAATAATGTAATAAATATAATAAATATAAGTAAGAGCTCACGATTCCATTCAAGGCAGCCATTGAAATAGATTAATTATTGATAAAAAATGTTAATGACTTTGAGATAATCTGAATATTGCATAGAACCTGCAAAACACATATTTCATACCTTATTCATGGGGCTATTGTTATTTTCACAAGCTTAACTGGAAATCCCTCTAAATTGTAGCTCTCACCTACATTACTAATACATGTACTGGACATAAAATTACATTGTCACTTGAGTTTCAAGAAATCGTATTAAGTTTTAAAATGGAAAGGTGCAGAAAAAATATAATAAATTATCAAAAATATTGTTCTAAATAAATTAAAATATAAAAGGCTAAGTGGATTTGAAGAAAGTTGGATGGAGTTGCTTGGAGTGTTTTTATACAAAAAGGCTAAAATTCTTTCTAAGCCGAGTAAATCATATAATGAAGGTTAATTATTCAAACATTCTCTTCTTTACCTTCCGTGTAGTCTCTTGTACCTCGGAATGTTTTCACCTAAAATCTTACAATTAGCTTACATTACAATTGTTAAGTTAAAACTATCATTTCCAATTTTCCAGCGCCCTTGTGAATTATTTATGTTTTTTTTTTTTACTTAGAGGAAATAATATAATATGAGATATAATATATAATTAACATGACCTGTTAAAACATTTTTTACAGAATAATATTGTTCCGTTTAACAAATTTTAATGCATAATACGAGCTCGTTTACAAAACATTTGCTAAAACATATCGTACACCCCCTGAACTTTAAATTGTTTCTTATAAAATATAAATCACAGTACTACGTACATGTTATAAAGGTTGAACCATAAATACCTGATAGTTTTTATACGGCGATTGCTCAGCTGTTATATTATTATCCACAGAGTTCATTGTTGCAGATAGCTGTTTAGTTAATGCCACTTTGGTGTTAGTTACCATGGCATCAGTGGCAAGTGCAGCATTGTTATTTAGTGATTGCACCATTTAAGAATGAGTCCGTTATTGTAACGCATCAACAGATTCGTGTTCACTTCAACATTGGCCGTCATGGAATATTTCCTTGTCTAAATACGATTGATTTTAAAGTGAGTAAGTAGCTTTCTGAAAGCATAATACCTATTTCAGCTAATAATAGTCAACCATCGATCTATTAAAAAATAATTAAAAGAGATGTTAGATGTAGGTCGTTATCAAAATACTCTATTCAGGATGAAACGTACTTGAGAACATAAAACCAAAATCAAAGAACAAAACAACAAATAGGTTTGTGCAAATTAACCGAAATTGGACACATTGTGTTGGTGAAACAATTAATTTTAACGACTAACTAACTAGTGTGGTGGTTAAAAGCTCTCCAAACGTAAATTTAATTGGTGGAGCTGTATTCTAGGGCTCATTTGTTGTTTTGTTTACATTGATTCCGTAAACCTCTTCTCTACACAAACCTCCACAATGTTAACAGTGTCTGTAAGATTACTTTATTAGTCTCTTTGTGGCTTAATATTTACGCTTTGGTCGTATTTTTTTCAAATAGTTAGATTTTTTAGTTTTTATTTGATTTTATACATATAAATTTGATCGTAGAGTGTTTTTGGTTCTGAGGACCTTAAAATAAAAAAGTAAGTCGGTCTGGGTCTAAATTGTTCTGTAATATCAACGGCAGTACTCTATTCCCTATATTGTAAATTCACTTGAGGTTCTGAGTAATTTTAGGCCTTCGTTAAGCAAATTACTTAGCATGTAGTCAATACTAAGTGCACAGTATAATTTCCGTTAACAGAAATTCATTATTCCTAGTACTAGTAGCTATATTCATAATAATGTTTGAATATCAATTGTAGTTTATCAAAGGATGATTAATAATTAATTATCAATTACAATAGCTGGATGTATTTATTGATTTATATTTTCTTCTATATCCACTTACATATTAGATTTTAAGTTATCCTAACAGTTCAACCTCACTTATTATTATCTCAGCAGTTTTTAAACAATTAAATAAGGTGTAATACTGGGCGTTTGGGAGAATTTACAGTTTTCACTGTTAAATAAATATCCATTTTAAATTTGCCTAAGTTTTTCGCTGCACGGATGGCCATTCTTCTAGGACCAGAACTTACAGAGTGCCTCAGACGAACCTCTCTGTCCCGGAGCCTCTCCTTGGACCTCCCATCTCCCAGGTTCCTAGCGACCGCCGGACCTTGGTTTGCAAGAGACGTCCGCGACATCCTGGATCGCGCAGATCAACCTTCATCGTTCGTCTGGTGGTTATCTAGAGTTGAATAACCACCAGGTTCAGGAAAGAGTGAAGAAGGATCAAAGGAATAGTATTTTAAGGTAAGTTTTGCTATTAAGATTTATGATCGTTAAGAAAAGAATTATTTATGAGAGCAACTGCCTTGCCTTTATGTTATTTAAATATATTATGTACGGTGAATTTGGGTCTAAACAAGCAGTTGGACTATGCGCGTTTCTAAACTTTGTTTGGTTTCGTTTGTAAAATGTCCCTATGCAAACAAAATGATTAGAGTACTGTACATAAGCATAAAGTTGCATTTTATTATTTTTAATGTAGTATTATGAGCTAAATTAAAAATTTGCTTATATAAAAGAATCTACCACATTGAACCTAGGGGTTAAGTGAAATCAACACTTATTTTTACAATGTTATGTTTATATTCCTAAATAATCTTTATATTCTTTTAGACCTATATTATAAGGAATTTAAAGAAGTATAGAACAAAAGTAAACCTAAAATACAAGTTAGAGGATATTGTTGATGAAAGCACGTATCTAATAAAACTTTGTATGACCTCTGATGCTTTTGCAAGTTATAATCATAAGGCTATATTACCTTGTTGCAGTTTATTTTAAATATTCAA